ATGTATAGTTGAGAGATGTGGAGGTATACCGCTAGCTATTGTGGTGACTGCAGGTATGTTAAGGGCAAGAGGAAGAACAGAACATGCATGGAACAGAGTACTTGAGAGTATGACTCACAAAATTCAAGAGGGATGTGCTAAGGTATTGGCTTTGAGTTACAATGATTTGCCTATTGCATTAAGGCCATGTTTCTTGTATTTTGGCCTTTTCCCCGAGGACCATGAAATTCGTGCTTTTGATTTGATAAATATGTGGATTGCTGAGAAGCTCATAGTTGTAAATAGTAGTAATACGCGAGAGGCTGAAAGTAAGGCGGAGGATTTCCTAAATGATTTGGTTTCTAGAAACTTGATCCAAGTTGCCAAAAGGAGATATGATGGAAGAATTTCAACTTGTCGCATACATGACTTGTTACATAGTTTGTGTGTGGAGTTGGGCAAGGAAAGTAACTTCTTTCACACCGAGCACAATGCATTTGGTGATCCCGGCAATGTTTCTAGGGTGCGAAGGATTACATTCTACTCTAATATTAATGCCATGAATGATTTCTTCCGTTCAAATCCTAAGCCTAAGAAACTTCGTGCACTTTTCTGTTTTATAAATGATACTTGCCTATTTTCTCAACTGGCTCGTCATGACTTCAAATTATTGCAAGTGTTGGTTGTAGTCATAGCTTATGATTATTTTTTAAGTTACATAGGAATCCCAAAAACGTTTGGGAAGACGAGTTGCTTACGCTATCTGCAATTGGAGGGGCATATGTATGGGGAACTGCCAAATAGTATGGTCAAACATATGCAGACCCTAAATATTGAAAATAGCTGGGCAATACTTCCTACTGGTGTTTGGGAGTCTACACAATTGAGACATCTTCGTTGTAAAGGTAATTTACAAGAATCTAACTGTTGCTTTTCTATAAGCCGAAACATTTGCTCATTGCCTCCTACTAATCTACAAACTTTGATGTGTGTGGATGATAAGTTTGTTGAACCGAGATTATTTCACCGGTTGATCAACTTAAGAAAACTGGGTATATGGAGAGTATCTGATTCTACCATTCAGATATTATCAACGTTGCCAAAAGAGTTGGAAGCTCTGAAGCTCATATTTTTGTATCAATCGAGTGAGCAAATAAACTTGTCACCCTTTCCAAATATTGTTAAGTTGTATTTGTCTTCGGAAGTTTGCGGTACAGTATTGCCTTCGAACTGTGAAGCATTCCCTCCAAATCTTGCCAAGCTTACTCTTGTTTACTTGATGGTAGAAGGCCATGCAGTGTCAACGCTTAAGAAATTGCCCAAATTAAAGATGCTTAAAATGATTTCCTGCAGCCATATGGAAGAAAAGATGGATCTCTCTGGTGGTGATAGCTTTCTGCAACTTGAAATTTTGCATATTCAAAAACCAATCGGGTTGTCTGAAGTAGCGTGCACAGATGATGTCAGTATGCCTAAATTGAAAAAGCTATTACTTATAAAAATACCTTATTCCAACCTTAGGCTCTCGAAACGTCTTGCAAAGCTTAGAGTATGAAAATCTCAATGCATCAACAGGTTAGTTTGCTACCTTAATTATTTACAATTTTCTCTCAATAAGCAAATTTTTTTAATTAATGAACTAAATCATTTTATGTCTAATAAATTGCAGATGCATTTTAGAATGATTCAAGTCTTTGCTGGAGACCATGACTGTTTGTATTTGCAATAAATAACATTAAATTAAATGTTTGATTTTTGCTTTTTCCAGTTGATGTATTTGTCGCTTCTAATTTGTAAAATACAACTATTTATTGTCTTATGTATATTTACCTTTTCTGTTTCACAAAAGAGAGTTGCATGTAGTCATCTCTATTAACCGTTATCAGCATGTCACTAGCCGAAACAAAATTGGGAACATGAGTTACTTACGCTATCTGCGATTCAAGGAGAAGATTTATGGGAATTGTCAAATTGCACGGTGAAGCTCAAACGTCTAGAGACCCTAGATATTGGTAATAGCATCATTGAACTTCCTTGTGGTGTTTGGGAGTTTAAACAATTGAGACATCTGTTGGGTTTTAAAGGTGTGAAGGATTGTAACTCTCCTGAAGGGTTGTCACTTGCCGGAGGGTTGTGAACTTTATGAAAGATTATATGTTTTCTAAAAGGTTATGACCGTTTGAGAGGTTGTGCCTTTTCCAAAGTGTTGTGACCTTTTTGGACCAAAGAAGATTATTTCTGAAAGTAAGGCGGAGGATTTCCTAAATGATTTGGTTTCAAGAAACTTGATTCAAGTTGCCAAAAGGAGATATGATGGAAGAATTTCAAGTTGTCGCATACATGACTTGTTACATAGTTTGTGTGTGGAGTTGGGCAAGGAAAGTAATTTCTTTCACACTGAGCACAATGCATTTGGTGATCCCGGCAATGTTTCTAGGGTGCGAAGGATTACATTCTACTCTGATATTAATGTCATGAATGAGTTCTTCCGTTTAAATCCTAAGCCTATGAAGCTTCCTTCACTTCTCTGTTTTATAAATGATAGTTGCCTATTTTCTCAACTGGGATTTCGAATTATTGCAAGTGTTGGTTGTAGTCATATCTAATGCTGATTTACGGAGTATCCTAACCAAAATGTGGGAAGATGAGTTGCTTACGCTATGTGCGATTGGATGGGAAACTGTCAAATTGTATAGTGAAGCTCAAACGTACGTCTAGAGACCATAGATATTAGTAATAGCTTAATTGAACTTCCTGGTGGTGTTTGGAAGACTACAGAATTGAGACATGTTCGTTATAAAGGATAAATATTTTGAACCAAGAATGTTGCACCAATTGATCAATTTAAGAAAATTGCAGATGCATTTGAGAATGATTAAGTCTATGCCTGTTTGTATTTGAAATAAATGTATTTGATTGCTAGTTCATGTATTTGTTGTCTTATGTATATTTATTTACCTTTGGAATTTGCAGTATTTAGTTTCTTTTCTTGTTCAACAATCAATGCTCACAATATAAGTTATGGCTTGCATCCATCTGTTCGGGTCGATTTTATGTATTTTCATTTTTAATTTATTGATTTTTGGTTATGGTTTATCTATCAATTGGTTTAACCAATAAGAAAATGCTTATAAAATAAATATATAATTTCTCTAACAATTTAACATGACAAGATAATAACATAACTTGACAAAGACTCATAAAATAGAAATAATAATAACTAACAATGAAAAAACTATATACAACTCTAACACAAAGAGAAACTAATAGGATGAGTATTCTTACTTTATATTTTTGACGTTTTATATAATGTGAAGTTTTGAACTCTATAAAGTGTGAAGTGAAGGCTAAAGGACAAATGCACTAACTAGTAAAGTATTGTGATTAATATTTAATTTATGTACGGTAAAGTACTATATTACTATAATCTTATTGGGTTATCGCTATACCCAATATAAAAGTCAAATCGAACTGATAATTTAATAAAAATTTTCAATAAAATCATTAAAAATATTGACCCAATAATTCAATAGCAACAAATTAAATAACACTTTTTCCGATTCAATTTAGGAAGCGCAAGTAGACAATTATTATATGGCTCACAATTTACAAATTCTTTCTAGTGTGAATTGTCAAAAACATCAACTTCTCTATAAATGGCTGATAATTATTTTTAAGTATTCATATTCGTGACAATCAATAGGTTTAAGATGAGAAATAATCAAAAGTATTTTCTTAAATAAAGGGAATGTATATTAAGAAATCATAAATAAGAAGTTATTAATTTTGTTGATTTGTTCCTTAATTATTTTTTTTTGAAATATAACAAACAAGTTTGAACACTTTAAAAAATAATTAATTGCATGAATAATATAGGAAAAATTAACTAATTCTTTCCTGATTTAGAAAAATGAATAACTATATAACAACTTTCACATAAAATAAAAATAAAATTCATATGTGTATGTTCTAGCAAAGTTGACATAACGCTCTATAACAAACTTATATATGTATAATTCACTATACATGTACAATTGAAGCGAATTGTATAAAACGAGAAAGAAATAAATTATATATAATTTGAATAGTATAAAACAAGAAAGCGAGAAAGGTAGAATTGTATAAAACGAGGAAGAGAAATTATATACAATTTGCATTTGTATAAAATGAGAAAGAGAGAAAGACAAAAAAAAAGATTTGTGTAGGAAATATACAATTAAATCGAATTGTATAAACGAGAAAAAGAGAAATTATGTACAATTTGAATTTGTATAAAACGAGAAAGACAAAAGAGACTTGGGCAGAAAAATATTTGTATTGTATAATTATAAGTGTATAAGACGAAGATATATATATATATATATATATATATATATATATATATATATATATATATATATATATATATATATATATATATATATATATGCATGCATTTATACAATTTTCTCTCACTTTATGCAATTAGAAACACAATTTATACAACTCTATTGTATAAAGTGAGAAAAGTAAGCGATATGAAGCGAGCGAGAGAGGGAAAGTGACGAACGAGAATATGAGGGAGAAAGAGATTGACAAACAATTTGTTATAGAACACCTATAAATCAAAAACTAACTACTATATTTATTTTATATTATTAATTAATTATCCCTTTATAAAATGATCAACTAATATAAAAAGAACTATATAATGAATGAATGATAGTTACAACTGAGTTGAAAAAAAGAGTTACTTCCGTTTGAAATATTCCTCTATTTCTTTTGTAACATTTACATCCAGACAAAAGTGAAAATATGATTTATTTTTCTTTTAAATTCTCCAACGTTATAATTTCCTTTTGCTTTATCATGAGGTAAAAAGTAAGATGCTTATATATAGTTTAAGTAAAGAATAAATTGGAAATTATGACCCATCTTACCCTCACATTCAAGTCAAGTATTGAACTAATTTATTTATTTATTTATTTTTCAAAAAATACTTATAAATAGAATTGAAGTGCTTGATTAATTTGTCAATTTCCATCTTTTGAAAGAAAAAAAAACCACATATAATTAATATTTACTCCAATCAAGGAACTGCATAAGCTAAATTCCAACCTATCAGGTACACCTAATTTTTTTTTCTTTTTAGCTTTAATTTATATTTGATTATTACAAAATAGTTAGAACTAGTAGTAAATAAATTTTTTAATTACACAAGCACACATAATTATATCGAGGGAAGGAAGAAAATGGGGAAATTATAATGAAAGATTGAAATCACGCATTTAATAATAATTGAGATCTGATTCATTCAATATTTCATTTTTAATGGTAATTCTTGTGTGAAAGTTGGTAATACTAATATATGAAAGACATATTCTTTAGTTGTTTTTTTTAAAATAATTTTTAGATTATTTATTTTATTGTTATCCAAATGAAAACTAATAGTTGGGTTATTATGCTCTTAAATGTATGATCAATATAAACATTAGTTAAAGATATACGTAAAGTTATTTTATTTTAATTGATAAAATGATGTTAAGAAAAAAAAGATATTATTTTCTACTTATTTATTAATTAAAATTATTAGAATTTTTTTTAAGAATATGATTCTTTAAGAAAATAAGAATATGGTTCGAGATTGAAACGTCTACAATAACCCAACCACACAATTGATATTCTGTAATCAGATTACTACTTGATAAAGTTGATAAGACTGGCGTATTATAAAGAATTGACTTGATAAAGATGCTTTGTTCACTATAAATAATACTATTTTGTTAGGTTAGTGTGTCTATGTAGTTTAAATAAATTTAAAAAATAACTTATCAAAAGTAGCTATGTAGTTTAAAAAATAACTTATCAAATATGACACATTGGGACACTATATGAAGTGTTTAAAATGAATAAAGCTTAGTTTGAGATGTTTAAGTGAAGGTTGATGTAAACTTTAAGAGGTCACCAATGGGCTGAACCAATATTTATTGATAATTAGCTAGCATATTAGTACATTTAAAGTTGTTAAAATACTTTCTGACAAATATACTAAAAATAGATGTCCAAAATTAACTGTCAGTTTCAACAATCAAGAAATAATTAGTTATATTTTCCAATTCTACCCTTAATAATTACTCTATTTTGTTTTATTGAAAATTTATGTAGACTTTTAATATTATTGATATAGTAATAGCGTTATATTAGTCAAATTAAACCTTGTATTAAATTTTTCTTGAGGAAAGTGCATGATCTTAATCTGATAAATAATTGTGATCGGAGGAAGTAAGTCAAACCATTGAGTGTAATTTTATACATTCAATAAGCAACCCTCATTAATATATCAAACAGACATTCTAAAGGGCCCTTTGGTTACCATATAAGAGTACATTTTATTCATGAATAAAAAGTTGCATTTTTTATTTTCTTAAACTTTGTGCCAAGTCAAATCAGGTCACTCTTTTTTAAACGGAGGGAGTATCATGTCTGGTAGGCAGAGTTCTAAATATTGTATAAATATTATTCCTTCCGTTCACAAATGTTTGGCAGATATACTAAAATAGATGTTTAAGATTAATTGTCAATTTAAATAATCAAGAAACAATAGGTCACCTTTTTTCTAGATTTGCCCTTAATATAATGATGGTGTAGTTCAATTGAAAAGTTATATGCAGACTTTTGATATTCTTGGTATAGTAGGGTTATATTAGTCAAATTACACCTTGTATTAAATTTTACTTGATGAGTGTGCATGACCTTAACATGACAAATAATTGTGGACGGAGGGAGTATTCATGTATTAATTTTGTGTTTTTGGCTAAAATTATTCCTAAAGTATGACCTAAACCTAAAGTAAATCATTGTGTTATATAAGTGAACAAAAAATATCCTTGCACTATCTCTAAAGTTGTAAGATTCATCCTTCGGTCTATGTTTTTAAGAAACTCACGCCACCAACAAAAAAATGTATCATGTCGAATCAAATGTACACATGGTTAAGCTAGTCAAGTTGATTGATTTTTTTTATTTTTAGAAATTGAGAGTTTAAATCATATTCAGACAAAATATATTCAAATTCTAAATATTTTTTGTAAATAAATATGGCCAATTACAATTGCAATTTCAAAAATTTCAAATAAGTAAGTATTATTTAATTTTCACAAACGAACGCCTATATAATTTCACTAAATTTTCAGTATTTATGTGTATTGTATAAAATGTGAATTACATTGTATATATTGTATATACGTACTATATATGTATTTTTTATCAAAGAAAATCTCTAAATTAAATAATTGCATGTAATTTTTTAAAAAGATTTTTTTTACATAATCTTTCTAATAATTGGAACCTACTTATATAAATATTTCAAAACTTATGTATTGTTGCAAGTCAATTAACTTGATGATGCAAAAACATATAAACTAACAGCACACAAAATTTAAAATATGTGAATAAAATATTTATTTTCTATCCATTTCCTTATTCTTTTAGATAACTTTGATCTTCTCGTCGTGGCTAAGACATGACAAAATTTAAAATCATTTTTTTATTGGTTGAGATAGTTTCTTTTAAAAAATAGACTGAGGGATGATTCTTGTTATTTTTTTGGATAATATAATGATGTTTTTTGCTCACTTAGATTATATAAGGATGTACATTAGATTTGATTCATAGTTAAGGGGTGATTTAAGCCAAAAACTCTATTAATTTCATACCATCTTTGATTGTGTTTTTTTGTAATCTTACATAATTAATATTGAAATAACTCACGAGAGAATCTATGTATAAGTTATACGAGGTTGAATATGAGATAAGTTATGCGGGTATTAGTTATATATATATATATATATATATTTACACTTATTAATTTATTTTTAAATCATTATTTAATGAGAACTTTACCGGGCTAAATTCAACATAATTAAACTCTGCATTATTAATATATGCATAATTAATCTTCCATAACTAATATCTACATAATTAAACCTGTATAACTAACACCTGCCAAACTCATTGAATTGTACGAAATTGAATAAAAATGCCCTAAATTAATTATTTGTTCCAAAAAAGTCGTTGTTGGTCCAAGTAAATATATTATTCATTCTTTTATATAGGAAATAGTCCTTCACTTCAATTAGAAAAAGAATAATTTTTTTTTTTACACATTATGTTCTTTTAAGGAAATATAGTTAAAAAAAATATTTTTAAATTATGTGAAATGAATAAAAATACCCTATGTTTATAGATATGTTAACGTATTCATGAAACAACATATTATCTTATATATAATTATAAAAAATATATATGTATATAATTTGTTTTACAAAATAAAATACACTGAATATTTTTAAAAACCAATTTAGAACAAGCAAGACATTTCGGAAAGCTTGGTCAAACACAATTTACTTATTCCCTTTGTTTAAAAAAGAATGTCCTTATTTTCTTTTTAGTTTGTTTAAAAAATAATGACTCATTTCCTTTAACTTTTCATGTGACATGTTTAACACCACAAAGATTAAATGACATTTTTATACATTTTACATAACTTTAGTTTAGAACCACAAAATTAAAAATTCTTTTTTTTCTTTAAATTCCGTTCCAAGTCAAAATAGGTCAAACGGAGGGAGTATTAATTACGGAAAAAAGCAATTCTCAAATACAAACTTCTTCTCTTCAAAACTGTTTGACAAAAATGTTGAGTTTGTTGACGCAGATTGAAAGGTATGGGAGAAATTGTTCTTTCTGCAGTTATCAGTAAAGCAACAGAGGCAGCCGGAAATCTACTCATTGAGAAATGGTCAAACTTGAATTCATTAGAAGAGAGCATGAATTGGCTCAAAACAGAAATGTTGCTAATTCAGTCTTACATTATTGATGCAAGAACCAAATTAACTCAAGGACATTCAACGGTCAAAAACTTGATCAAATATATTGAACAACTTGCGGATGATGCAAACGACATCTTAGATGAATTCCTTCCCAAAATTGAACGCAAAGGAACCATTGGTTGTCGCGTTAGTAATGTTTCTTCTGCCAACAAGTTTGTCGCGGAGATTGAAAAGATAAAACGAAGAGTTGCTGAGATTGATCGTTTGAGAACAACTTATGGCATCACTGATACAAGTAACAATAACAATCAACATGACTACATTCCGTTGGACCAGAGAGGATTATTCCTTCATGCTGATGAAACAGAGGTCGTCGGTTTGGATGATGACTTCAATAAGCTACAAGCCAAATTAATTGATCATCATTTGCCTTATGGAGTTGTTTCAATAGTTGGCATGCCCGGTTTGGGAAAAACAACTCTTGCCAAGAAACTTTATAGGCACGTCCGTGATCAATTTGAATGTTCTGGATTGGTCTATGTTTCGCAGCAGCCAAGGGCGGGAGAAATCTTGCTTAAGATAGCCAAACAGGTTGGACTGACGGAAGAAGAAAGGAAAGAGAACTTGGAAGACAACTTACGATCACTCTTGAAAAGAAAAAGGTATGTTATCCTCTTAGATGACATTTGGAAAGTTCAAATTTGGGATGATCTCAAACTTGTCCTTCCAGAATGTGATTCAAAAATTGGCAGTAGGATAATTATTACTTCTCGAAATAATGATGTAGGCAGATACATAGGAGGGGATTCCTCGCTCCACGAGTTGCAACCCTTAGACTCAGAGAAGAGTTTTGAACTCTTTACCAAGAAAATCTTTATTTTTGATAATAATCATTCAGTTGACTTGGTAGATATTGGTAAAACTATAGTTAGGAGATGTGGTGGTATACCATTAGCCATTGTTGTGACAGCAGGCGTGTTAAGGGCAAGAGAAAGAACGGAACATGCATGGAACAGAGTACTTGAGAGTATGGGCCGTAGAGTTGAAGATGCATGTGCTAAGGTATTGGCTTTGAGTTACAATGATTTGCCTATTGCATTAAGGCCATGTTTCTTGTACTTTGGCCTTTTCCCCGAGGACCATGAAATTCGTGCTTTTGATTTAATAAATATGTGGATTGCTGAGAAGCTCATAGTTGTAAATAGTGGTAATACGCGAGAGGCTGAAAGTAAGGCGGAGGATTTCCTAAATGATTTGGTTTCTAGAAACTTGATCCAAGCTGCCAAAAGGAGATATGATGGAAGAATTTCAACTTGTCGCATACATGACTTGTTACATAGTTTGTGTGTGGAGTTGGGCAAGGAAAGTAACTTCTTTCACACCGAGCACAATGCATTTGGTGATCCCGGCAATGTTTCTAGGGTGCGAAGGATTACATTCTACTCTGATATTAATGCCATGAATGAGTTCTTCCGTTCAAATCCTAATCCTAAGAAACTTCGTGCACTTTTCTGTTTTGTACATAATAGGTGCCTATTTTTTGAACTGGCTCGTCATGACTTTAAATTATTGCAAGTGTTGGTTGTAGTCATACCTTATGATCATTTATTTAGACCCATGGTTATCCCAAACACGTTTGGGAAGAAGAGTTGCTTACGCTATCTGCAATTGGAGGGGCATATGTATGGGAAACTGGCAAACAGTATGGTCAAACATATGCAGACCCTAAATATTGAAAATAGCTTCACTGAACTTCCTACTGGTGTTTGGGAGTCTAAACAATTGAGACATCTTCGTTATAATGGTACTTTTCAAGCATCTAACTGTTGCTTTTCAATAAGCCGAAAAATTTACTCATTGCCTCCTAATAATATACAATCTTTGATGTATGTGGATGATAATTTTGTTGAACTGAGATTATTTCACCGGTTTATCAACTTAAGAAAACTGGGTATATGGAGTGTATCAGATTCTACCGTTCAGATATTATCAACATTGCCAAAAGAGTTGGAGGCTCTGAAGCTCATATTTTATTATCAACCGAGTGAGCAAATAAACTTGTCGTCCTATCCATATATTGTTAAGTTGCATTTGAATGGAAGTGTGCGTTTGAAATCTGAATCATTCCCTCCAAATCTCGTCAAGCTTACTCTTCGCAACATTGAGGTAGAGGGTCATTTAGTGGCATTGCTTAAGAAATTGCCCAAATTAAGAATACTTAAAATGATTTACTGCCAACATAAGGAAGAAAAGATGGATCTCTCTGGTGATAATGATAGCTTTCTGCAACTTGAAGTTCTGCATATTCAAGAACCATCCGGGTTGTCTGAAGTAGAGTGCACAGATGATGTGAGTATGCCTAAATTGAAAAAGCTATTACTTATAGAAACAACTAATTCCAACCTTAGGCTCTCGAAACGTCTTGCAAAGCTGAGAGTATGAAAATCTCAATGCATCAACAGGTTAGTTTGCTACCTTAATTATTTACAATTTTCTCTCAATAAGCTAATTTTTTTAATTAATGAACTAAATCATTTTATGTCTAATAAATTACAGATGCATTTCAGAATGATTCAATTCTTTGTTGGAGACCATGTTTGTATTTGCAATAAATAACATTAAATTAAATGTTTGATTTTTGCTTTTTGAAGTTGATGTATTTGTCGCTTCTAATTTGTAAAATACAACTATTTATTGTCTTATGTATATTTACCTTTTCTGTTTGACAAAAGAGAGTTGCATTTTTTCTCAAATGACTCATCTTAAATTCAAATTATTGTAAGTGTTGTATGTAATCATCTCTATTAACCGTTATCAGCGTGTCACTAGCCGAAACAAAATTGGAAACATGAGTTACTTACTGTCACGGACCTAGAGAATTTTCTAAGACTACGTGCGGCACTCGACAACTTACTCACGACTCTTTCACGATCTTGTAAGCTGAAGTAAGCATTTAAGATTCGGAACGCTAAGAGAACATAAAGAAAGGCTTAGAAAGGGTAAAAGAGAACTTTAGAAGAAGACTTGTATTACTACTTTGCTTGATTGTTGGATGGATGGATTTACAAATGAGAGACCCTCCTATTTATACTACATCCTAAGGGCCTTAGTGTAAATAATATTTACTCTACAAGTCCTTCTACTAACTACACTTTAGTCCATATTCTAGATAAGTCTACATCTTCTAGAATATGCTAAACTCCTCCAAAATGATCTAAAATATTCTAGAGAATTCCCTCTATGCAAACCTCTTCAAGACTCTAGATCCTCCTGCCTCATTCGGATGCTAAATCTAGCTGGAATTGTGGCGGGACGTCACATTACGCTATCTGCAATTCAAGGGGAAGATTTATGGGAGCTATCAAATTGTACGGTGAAGCTCAAACGTCTAGAGACCCTAGATATTGGTAATAACATCATTGAACTTCCTTGTGGTGTTTGGGAGTTTAAACAATTGAGACATCTGTTGGGTTTTAAAGGTGTGAACAGGAAATGAAGGATTGGAACTCTCCTGAAGGGTTGTCACTTTGCCGGAGGGTTGTGAACTTTATGAAAGATTATATGTTTTCTAAAGGGTTGCTACAGTTTGAAAGGTTGTGCTTTTTTCAAAGTGTTGTGACCTTTTTGGAAAGTTGTGAGTGGTTGATTTGTTGTCACAATAGAGAGCAGGAACAATGTGAGTGGCGCGGATTTCGCGAAGAATATATGTGACCCAAATGGTCTCAGCAGCAAGAAGAGCAAGGGCGCGGTATTCAACTTCAGTCGAGGACCGAGAGACCTTGGGTTGTTCTTTTGTACACCAGGAGATCAGGTTCGGCCCCAAAAAATGAGAAACCCCGATGTAGATTTTCTGTCATTTTTATCATTCGCCCAATCTGAATCTGAGAAACCCCGAAGCTCCAAGTCCTCGGGTCGAATGAGTAAACCACGACCAAGAGTGCCAAAAATGTACCTGAGAATGCGTTTTAGACAATGGTAATCATGTTCACTTGGTTGATGCATGCGCTGAGCAACTCGGTTGACAGCAAACTGGATGTCAGGACGGGTAATGGCCAGTTACTGTAGAGCCCCAATGAGGCTGCGGAAGTGGATGATATCGGCAAAGGGGGTGTCGGCTCCATTCATAGACAAAGAGACTACCATCGGTGTTGGTTGACTGGTGCATTTTTCCAGTCCAGCTTTCTGCAACAGATCTCGAGCATATTTTAACTGATGAAGAAACAAGCCGCTGCCTGTCCGAGAGACCTCCATTCCCAGAAAATAATATAATGGGCCAAGGTCCTTCATTTTGAAGGTAGTATGCGTAGCTCGAGTGACATCCTGAATGAGAGCTGCAGTAGAGCCTGTAATAATGATATCATCTACATAGACAAGAAGAATGATTGTACCGTGTGCTGAATGTCGAGTAAATAGACTCGTGTCGTGTACGCAACACGTGAAGCCGAGTCCTTGGAGGAACGTTTTCAGACGTGTGTACCAAGCACGGGGGGCTTGCTTGAGCCCATATAGAGACTTCTGGAGTTTGCAAACATGTTGAGGGAAGTGGGTATCAACATAGCCCGGTGGTTGCGTCATGTAGATAGTTTCATCAAGCATGCCATGAAGAAAAGCATTGGAAACATCCAACTGATTGATGAGCCAATTGTTGCGCACGGCGAGTGACAGTACCAGGCGAATGGTTTCCTACCGAATAACAGGACTGAATGTCTCGAAGTAATCAAGCCCATACTCCTGATTGTATCCTTTAGCAACCAAACGAGCCTTGTACCTGGAAATACTGCCATCTGCATTGTGTTTAATTTTGTACACCCATTTACAGCCCACTGGGTGCCGCCCATGGGGCTTAGGTACAAGAACCCAAGTTTTCTGATCAGTCAAAGCCTTAAACTCGTCATCCATAGCATGACGCCAATAAGCATTTTTTGAGGCAACAGAGTAGGTTGTTGGTTCACTATCGGGAAGGGGTGTATTTGGTAGTATGGTAGCCTAAAAGGTTTTGGGTTTAAAGATACCGGCTTTGCCATGGGTTAACATGGGATGAGTATTGGGGGTGGCACGGGCGGTGGTGATTCGGGGGTGGCCGGGAAGGACCCAAAACGTATCGGGCTGGAGATGTTGTGGGTATGGGGTGGTTCGGGTTGGTTGTGAGTGTGTGTGGTGGTTGCGGGTGTATTGTGGGTGACGGTCGAAGGGGTGATGAGGGGTGGTTGGGTAGTGGGTGGAGGTGTGGGGGAAGGTGGTGAGGGACCGTGTGAGTATGTTGGAAAAAGGGGAAGGACGCCAATGAATGATGTATTTGTGGAGGAGAAAATAGACTCGTAGGGAAACTCATTTTTGACAAATTTGACATGACGAGATATATAGACTTTATGAGTTTGTGGGTCAAGACAGCGATAACCCTTGGAGGTAAGATGATAGCCCAAAAAAATATAAGGACGGGATCGGGGTTGTAATTTGTGAGTAATATGAGGGCGTAGCCAAGGGTAGGCAAGACACCCAAAGACGCGGAGGTTGGTATAATTGGGAAGTTCTTGGTAAAGGAGTTGATAGGGTGATTTGTTCGAGAGAGTGTGACTGGGCATTCTGTTAATGAGGTAGTTTGCGGTGGCTAGAGCTTCTACCCAAAAGGACACAGGGAGATGAGATTGATGTAGAAGAGTAACCACCGTTTTAATGAGATGGCGATGCTTACGCTCAGCCACCCCATTCTGTTCGGGAGTGTATGGACAAGAGGTTTGATGTATAATTCCCAGGGATTGCAGAAACTGACCAAAGATGTTATTGACATATTCCTTTCCATTGTCACTTCTAAAAAGTTTAACATGAGAATTGAATTGTGTTTTGACCATTTTTTCAAAAGTGACAAAGGTGGTGTATGCCTGTGATTTGTGTTTTAGTGGGTACAACCAAGTGTATTTTGTAAAATCATCCACAAAACAAATATAATAGCGAAAACCAGCAAAGGAAGGAACAGCAGTAGGACCCCATAGGTCAGAATGAATAAGTTGAAAAGGAGCAGTTGTACACTTCTCAGATAAAGTAAAAGGTAATTTATGAGATTTAGCAATTGAACTTGAGTCACAATTGTTTACATGAATGGAAGAAAAACCTAATTGAGACATTAAAGAATTTATTATTTGAGTAGACGGGTGACCCAGACGACTGTGGCCATCAGCCGAAAGAGCCACCGGAGCCACAGGAACGCTTTCTGAAACTGGGTGGGCAGACGAACTTGTGATAGGAAGAATGTACAGACCATGCTCACAGGGGCCCTGAAAAATCACCCTCTTGGTAGTATTGTCTAGGATTTGAAAATCATTAGAGGTGAACAAGAGTGAGCAATTATTGTCTTTTGTGAATTGGTGAACTGAAAGGAGATTGGTTTTAATAGAAGGGACGTGGGTAAGATTACCTAGGTGAAAGATAGCGGTGGGGGTTTTAATAGTACCCGTGCCAGTGTGAGAAATATTAAGGGACTCACCATTTCCAACAGTAATACCATTGGAGCCATGATATGGATTTGGAGCGTTAAGCTTGGATAGACCAGAAGTAACGTGCATGTTGGCCCCAGTATCCAACAGCCATTCAGAGGAAGGGCAGGCTTGAGATGCATAATTGGCACGGTTATCACTATTTCGGCTCTCCTCATACCGAAACCAGCAACGAACAGCGGTGTGTCCTGTTTTCTGACAGATTTGACAAGTTGGACGATCCCGCTCGTAAGTGCCCTGCCCGCCGCTGCCGAAGGAGTGCAGACTGTTGTTGCTGCCGTGCTGCTGACCGTCGTACAGCGGACGACTACCCTGCCGACCGCTGCGCCCGCGGCCTCAGATTTTTCTGTCGTAGCCGCCGCGGCTCCCCTGCCGGCCGCCACCACGCCCCCCGCGATAGTTTTGGCTTGCGGTAAGGGCGGTGGCCATCTCCATAACAGCGGCTTCTCGGAGAAGAAGTTTGCTTTCCAGATCCACGTTGATTTCTTCACTTTTTAGCCATGAGGAGAGAGTAGCCAGGTCAACGGGCGTTGGACTGATGCGAACCGCCTGTTTAATGGAGGAGTAAGCTGATGGGAGCCCCCGAACGACGCACATGACGAGATCTTTTTCGGGAATGATTTCGTTCACGGTGTCGAGGGCTGTGATGATGGTGGAGACCTCATCTAAATACTCCGCCATAGTTTTCATGCCTTTGGTAATTGTGTGGAGACGATCACGCAATTAAAAAATATGAGAGTGGGAAATTGATGCATAGCGTGTTGCGAGGGCCGTCCACAGGGCTGAAGCAGTTGTGTAGGATCAGACGTGTTTCTGAATCATGGGAGAGATAACCGCAATCAAACATGATCGGATCTGGCCATCCACGACTTTCCAGGCGGCATAGACCGGATTGGTTTTTTCTGATTTGTCCGCCGCGGTGATGACTGCCGGCGGCGGTTCTGTTCTTCCATCGACGTATTTGAGAAGGTAATTAGCCTCAAGGACTGTAAGAACGGTGATTTTCCATGTAGGGTAATTTATGTCTGATAATTTTTCGGGAATCAGGGCATGAAGATGCCTGAGAAGGAGTTTAACGCCAGAAGGAAGTGAATCGAGAGGATCCACCTCGGTTGTCATGGCTGCCGCCGCCCAAGAGAAGAGAGGGAACGATCGGTGC